TGGACATGTTGTGAGGAGAGACCGGTCCTTGGAGAAGGACATCACGCTTGGGAGGGTGGAGGGACAGCACAGGATGTGGAAGGCCCTCTATGAGGTGGATTGATTCAGTGACTGGGATAATCGGGATGGGAGTGTCAGAGACAGTGCGACTGGCACAGGACAGAACAGAGTTTAGGGCTGTTGTACATAGGGTCACTGTGAGTCACAAGCGACTCGACGGCACATAACAACAACAACAACACATACTCCATTACCACTGAGTTGATTTCAATCCACAGTGAACAAACCAAAAGGGGAAATCAGAATTAACCTAGAGTTTCCAAGGCTCTGGTCTTCATAGACACACAATGTCAAATATTCTCTGAGGAAGATGTGGCTGGTGAGTTCAGGACTGAATTTTTTTTTTGTTGGCAGGTAAGTGTTTAACCACTATAACAGCAGAGTTTTTTGTATCACTGCCAATTATATCTTTAACCTTTTCTACACAATTTTATTCATCTTCGTATCTAGTTTCTGGTCTTCCAGAAAAACATGACCAAATGGGTGGATTTAATTTTATTGCATTATTTCTTTTTCTAAAATTGTTTCTTTTAGTTAAAGTTTACAGAAAGGTGGGGTTATCATTCATTCATTGAGTAGTTTTCTCTCCCCTAATTCTTTTTGTAATGCATTTCTTGTTTCAGACTGTTGTCATACATGTAATGCCTAATCTTACTTTCCTTTCCTTCATCTGGTGTGTTTCTTATCTAGCTACTCTTTTCTTATACTTTCTTGATAGTTTAACGTCCAAATATCTAAGTAGTTTTGAAACTTCAACAGTCACTTTAAGTACAAATTAGGAACATATTAAAGAAAAGGAAGCCCAAAATTCAATATAAATTTTTTTTCTCTTCATAGCAAGATACTATAATGAAATGTGCAGAGAGCTGGAGTCAGAAAATCAAAAGAGCCAAACTCACTCAGCATTTCTTAAGCTAAGAGAATTGAAAAGCAAATTCAAGCCACAAGTGGCAATACTTAAAGATGATTTGGGCAGAGTGTTAAATGATCCAAGCAGCATTAAAAGAAGATGGAAGGAGTATACAGAGTCACTGTACCAGAAGAAATTGGCTGACAAAGAAGAATTTAATGAAATAACGTATGAGCAAGAGCCTGTGGTGATGAAGGAAGTTCAAGTTGCTCTCAAAGAATTGGCAAAAAAACAAGGCTCCAGGAGTTGATGGCATACCAACTGACATACTTCAACAGACACTGCCCTGGATGTGCTAAGTTGTGCCAAGAAATCTGGAGGAAAACCACCTGGCCAACTGACTGGAAGAAATTGGTATTTGTTCCCATTCCAAAGAAAGGTGACCTGACAGTGTGGAAATTATCAAACAATATCATTAATATCACATGCAAGCAAGAGTCTGCTGAAAATTATTCAAAAACTAGAGCTAACACATCAACAGGAACTGCCAGATGTGCAGACTGGGTTGAGAAGAAGTCTTGGTACTAGGGATATTATAGCTAATTTTAGATGAGTGTTGGCAGAAAGCAGAGAGTACCAGAAGAATGTCTATCTGTGCTTCATTGACTATGCAAAGGCTTTTGACTGTGTGGATCATAACAAGCTGTGGCTGACTCTGAGAAGAATGGGAATCCCTGAGCATTTGATTGTGCTTATGCGAAACCTATACTTGGACCAAGAGGCAGTCATCAGAACAGACAGAGTAAGA